CTCCTACGACGGCGCAGCTAGATCCCAAACCGAGACAGTAGTTATCCGCTCTCCCATGACTATTGCCTCGACAGTAGACAAAAATCTACGAAAAATGATTAAATTATATCGAAAAGCTGTTGAACTACTTATTAGTGAATCATATAGTTGATACTGGCTGGGAAATGTAGGAATTTCAATGAGGTCCCATGTTATTATTATTATTATTATTATAGGCAAATGTGATGTGACCACAGAATTTGTTAGTTCACAAACCTATTTATTACTATTATTACTGTATTAGTTTGTATAGTATTAGTTACATACCATACTCTGTTAATTCAGTAATTATACCATGTTTAGTTACTTTTGTGTCCAAATCACTAATAGTAATAGGTCTGTAATAGTAACGTTCAGTCATCAGATTAGAAATTGTATTTGTTTAATTTTTGGTTATGAGCAGAGCTAATAATTTACTTCATTAAGACATTAATTAATTTCAAATGTGATGATAATATTTACTGGAATCAGTTGCAATCTCTCAGAAATAATCAATAATTGGTAAATAATAGCAATGGTTGTTTATATTAAAAGTTATTGTAATTAATACCAAATATTCAATGATTTTTAGTAAACCAAGTCTTGAAGTTAAACTGAGTGCGATTTATTTTCTTAACACGCTGTACACATACATAGACAAATAATTTTCCATTGTCAAAATTTAATAGTTCAACCTCGGTAACATTTGCGCAATGATAACAAATGAGATAAATTAAGCCTATTATCGGGATTTGTAAATTTAAATAATGTCTTTTTATTATTACTAACTTGTTGCACATCAAGTAACATTACAAAAATTGGATTGAGGTTGCTTATTACTGCACATGTTTCTAACTTGTTGATATGCTTCTCTTATGATGTAGATATTATTGTATATTGTATTTCTTGTAAATTTATAATTTATGCGTAGAAGAACAGTATCAACTAACTTTTTCATACGTGCGCCGCACTTATTGATTATGCATAAACAGTACGAACACATTTTATCTACTGAGAAATTTACAACGCTAATTAAATGCGATAAGTTTTAACGACAACATCGCATTGAGGTTTATAAACTAAATATGAAAACTAAAACGTGTCGAGCTATTTGCGGTTTTGTCTACACTTTGCAAACCCTTTTTTGGCTATCGTTTGTTACCAATATAGTTTGCTTCAAGTTATGCTACCTTGTTTACGGTTGGTTTCCATAGTTTCGAAGACTACCAGGTATTAAAACAATACGTATCTGTTTAGCTTTGAGACTATTACCAAATTTAGGTTTGTCCACTTGATTTGCCACGCGGATGCGCAAGGAATGTCGATCCATCAAAGATTTTTAGATTGATAGTTGCGGTAGTTGTAACCCTTCCGTCACTATTACTATTGATAGAACATAATTGTAATAATAATAAACATGAGCAGCCAGACAAACGTCACCGAAGTACATTCAATCTATGATACTATATTAATCCTTGACTTTGGATCACAATATTCACACTTGATAACACGGCGCGTTCGCGAGTTTGGTGTTTATTGTGAAATGTTACCATGCACTCAAAAGATCAAGGAACTTCACTTTAAACCGAAAGGTATTCTAAATAATCACTACTTAGACGATATCTTTGCCTTATTTTGAAGATTGATATTCTTCCTTGTGCTAATTCCCCCCAAAGGCATTATTCTATCAGGAAGTCCATATTCGGTATATGACGAGGATGCCCCCAGAGTAGATCCCGATGTATTCACGCTAGGAATACCCGTCTTGGGCATATGCTATGGCCTTCAAGTAGATATTCATACGTTTTTTTGTCCCGTCCAAGCTTTTCGTAACAACTCTCATACTTACTAGTCATTATCAGGAAATAGCCTGGAACCATAGCGGATCAGTTGTGGCCTGTAATCATCGAGAGTATGGACATGCGATGCTAAGTGTAATCAAGCATGCCGACCATCCCGTTGTTGATAGACTATTCGATGGATTCGATGGTGATATAGAGGTACGTATTATAGGGAGTGTATCGTGATCGTACAGATTATGCTGCTGCAATAGACTATGTGTGAAAAAGAATGACTTGAGTTGCTAGATTGATTACCGTGAAATATTACACGTTCTTTAAATCTCCCCCTCCTTTCCCTCTTTTTGTAAAGCCTTGTTTCGCGTCTCGCTTATTAGTCCAATCTCATTTTTCACCCAACCTTTTATTCACTAGGTTTGGATGTCCCACGGTGACCAACTCTCCAAATTACCAACAAATTTTCGTATAATAGGCAGCACACAGACTGCTCCGTTTGCAGCGATCGCGCACGAAGAGAAGCTATTGTTTGGCATTCAATTTCATCCAGAAGTCACACATACCCCGAGGGGAAAAGAGATAATTGGAAATTTTGTCAAGAGTATATGTGAATGTAAAACTGATTGGACAATGGCATGTTATAACAATACAAAGTTGGGTGTGGGAGACTTGTGTATTGTAGATTCAATACCGAAAGAAGAACGATTAAAAAGTGCGTACGCGATTTGACCGTCTTTTTTCCCCTTTTTTTTTTGCAGGAATCGTTTATTGACAAGGAAATCGAACGCATTAGACAGATAGTCGGAAAAGATGGAGAGGTTGTCGGAGCTGTTAGTGGGGGAGTGGATAGCACAGTTGCTGCCAAGTTAATGAAGGAAGCTATCGGAGATCGGTGAGATATGAAGCTTAATTGGAATTTACACTGTTTACTTGCATCTCGAATAAGTAATATCTTGCGTTGATTACTTATTCCTTGTAGAATACCCTACAAACACTACACACATACTTGATACTCACTACTTGTTTATTTCACCTGTTCATCATTCACATGTATACATTACTTTGAAAAAGTTTTCACGCTATTCTGGTGGACAACGGTGTCATGCGTCTCAACGAATGCGCAACCGTCCATTCCTACCTCCATTCGCATTTGAAAATCAACCTCCGCGTAGTCGACGCATCAGACAAATTTTTGTCGCGTCTCAAAGGCGTCACTGACCCTGAAAAGAAGAGAAAGATAATCGGAAACACGTTTATCGAGGTGTTTGAAGAGGAAGCGGCAAAGATCGATGAGGTGACGAAAAAAAGTGGAAGAAAAAGCATCGAATATTTGTTACAGGGTACTTTGTATCCTGACGTTATTGAAAGTGTCAGTTTTAAAGGTCCGAGTGCGGTTATCAAGACGCATCATGTAAGTGCATGTTTGCGTAAAAGTGTGATCAAGTTGTGACATGGTGTATACACGATTGTAATACGGAACTTGTTGGTTGTAGAACGTGGGTGGGTTGCTGCAAGACATGAAGTTAAAGCTTATCGAGCCGCTTCGCGAGCTGTTCAAAGGTACTTGTGAAACAATGTGTTTGATGGTTTCGCTTTTGGCGAATGTGGCCGCCGCATTGTTGCACTCATGGTTTTCATCTAACTCGATAACTTTTGGTCATGCTCTCGCCTCCTCTCATCTCCCCATCTGCCAAAAAGACGAAGTCCGCAAACTAGGCAAAGTTCTCTCTCTTCCCGATGACTTGATTTATCGCCACCCGTTTCCCGGACCTGGAATAGCCATCCGCATTCTCGGGGAAGTGACTCCCGAGCAAGTCGCTATAGCTCGAGCAGCAGATCACATTTACATTGAAGAGATTAAGAAAGCGGGTCTGTACAGAGAAATCGCACAAGCATACGCGGCGTTGTTGCCGGTGAAGGCTGTGGGCGTGATGGGTGACAAGAGGACGTACGAGCAAGTTATTGTACTAAGGGCGGTCGAGACTACTGATTTTATGACTGCTGATTGGTATGGATGAAAACGGTGGGGGGGACGAATGGAAAATGCGGTGAAAATAGCAGGGTTGAGAAGGCCGTGGATATTTGTATTGGCTAAAGTCATATGTATTATAGGTACGATTTTCCACGCGCAATACTAAAAAAGATCAGTAACAAGATTATCAATGAAGTCAAAGGTTAGTACGTCTCCGTAAGAGTGCATTGTGCGTTTGGTGTATGTAAAGTCTCGTCATTTTTCGTCTTTTGACTATTAGGAGTTAATCGCGTGGTGTACGATATTTCGAGCAAGCCTCCGGCTACAATTGAATGGTACTTGTTCTGTCTGTTTTTGATCCAAAAGTCTTTGGAAGGTTAATGACGTCCTGAACGATATTCTTCTAGGGAATAATATATACCATGGCGACGATATAAGCCACTAGGAAATTAATCATTACGAAAATTTGAATGTTCGGTTAATCAAGTCTACATAAAAATTCTGTCCGTTTAATTATCGAACGTAATAATCACATTGCGGGCGGGTTAATCTGTGAAATGAGTTCAGTATCACTGCACTTTCAAAGTCTTACGTATCGATTACCTCGAATTATGAAAGAAAGATATAACCGTTGTAAGCATTTTAATTTCTTGCCAGACAGTATGAAGAGTAGCAGATATTTTTATGTTAACAGTAGCGAAAACGAACTAATTGACTATGACTCATGACACTTAAACTCGTCTGGAAAGATCAAAGTCTATTCCGGTCTTGAAGATCTCTTTGGAGAATCAATTGCTCAAGCCACATCAAACGGAACCCAAAGTTCATGCGCTAATAGACGTATATGTGCATCTCAAAGAATCTTAATTTACACTGCAGACGGCAAAAATCGTGATTCATCATGTTGAGTTCTCTAAAGTCACGTGAAAGTAAGAGTCTGACATATTACAGAATAGACTAAGACGCGAAAATAGGTACATCTCAAACATGAGCGAGTTATATTCTTCGAATTGAACAATGCGGATACAGACAATAGTCTTACAGCAGCCACCTTGCGTGTGAATATATATTCGATACAAGATATTACTAAAAGTCTGTATTTATAACAATTAGTGATAAGCTGAATACGGATTACACACATCACAAGCATGTTTTACTGCGCCGGCTGCTCTTCCGAGATATGTTAAACACTTACAAGTGACCAAAGTATCAAATCTTGCTTATAAATGAGAGCAAACTTTGCCCTTTAATATAATTCACTAGAAATTCGAGGAGAATATTCGTGCCACAATAACAAAATATAAATTGAGTAAGAGATTATTTAAGCTTTTTCACGTTCCTCGATAATGGGCTTTGGAAAATGACTTCAGAGGCAGATGTGGATATTGCTGTCGAAGAAACAAGGTTTCAATAGCAATTAGTTTGTTCGTCAGCGATGGCCTTTCCTTGCTCAAAGGCTAATAACGCATACGCTCCCATCACGATAACAGCTGAGAAGAGAAACAATCTCCTTCGTTTTCCGAAAAAAAAAAAAAACTCTTAATTCTTATGTACTACTTCCGTCGATACCAGCAGGGCATAACAGATCACTGTTGTTTTTAAAAGTACGATTTGCAGAAACAAAATGAGACTCCGAGACTAGCACTCCACGAAAACATTTTCGTCGTATACTGAACGTGAATTGCGTGGTGTCCCCGTCGAGACCATCACCTTAATCTTTAAAGGGACTGTCTATTAGTAGAATACTTTTCGGTTTAAAGATACAATGCTTTGATTTTTGCGTCACATCTCACGGTAGACATCCCAAACGCGCGCCGCGTTACCAAGTGTTGGTCACGAATTAATATACATTATCAATAGAATGTAACTTTTGGTATTAACATAGAGAGCGTTCTATAGCGAGCAAAGTAATTGATAATGCTTAATGAATACTGGGAACAATATTAGAACATTTATTCTGTATGCCAGAGTAAATGGCTTTATTACAATATACACAGCTACTACGTACCGTAAAGAACAATTAAACGATTAGCACATTTACAGTCCAAGTCGAACTTTGTTTCATCGCATAATAGATAAGCATTAACACGACATTGAAATAAAATGATCTTTGCCCTGTGCTCTTACGCTGGATAACAGCACTTGATTAATTTTCTGTGAAACTTGCTTAAGACCTTTTGGTATTAGGAAAAGAAACAAAAATAGGTTTATGAAATGACTGCAAAACTTACAATGTTTCCTGGGTTTTTTACACGTTGCATTTGGAACAAGACAAGACAGAGAATATTTCAAACTCATGTTAATTGCAACACTGGAAACCAACGGAAGAAACGTATTTATTCTTATCTCAGTGTACGCAAGCAGTTGGCAAATAGAAATAAGCAGACGAAAATAACAGTATTGATAAAATTTTTTCATAATTAGAATTGTAATTGATAAAAATAGGGCGGCTGGCGCTTCATACGCCTATCCGGATGAACACATCAAGCGCGGGCCGCATACCCCAAAGAATGTTATATTTGTCTTTATCAATACACCAGTCATCACTGTCATGCGTATACTTTTACAAGCTAATAGAAATGCTAAGAGACTATTAAGCTTTCTATGGCTAGGGATGTAAATGAATCTTGGCAACGAATAGAGTAAGTGAAGACTAAGCTGAATTACACCCTCCGTCATTTGATGTTAATAGAGTGCCACTAATGTTAATATTGTCTATTAAACAAAAGAACAATACACTATTAAGGAGGGCAATAATATGCAATAAAGACGTAATATTTTGATCTTACCGCCCATTCATTGTTCTAAATTTAGGTGTATTATTTCCTTATATTAAACCCGTGCAGCGGGCAGATTATTTATTTGTAAGTTGCATCCCGGTTGCATGGTCCAAACCAAATTCGGGTATGTTTAAAATAAGTCGGTAGTATTGATCGGTCATCAGAAACCCGAATTTGGTAGAAAGTCACTTGGGGAACATCTGACAATTATGTAGTAGTGGCTTTTTCTCCCGTATTTGTATTTGAAGCAATGTTAACTTTCTTCAATTGTGTAGCTTTTAAAAATAGAACTGTAATTTGTACGACGTTTCTTAAGTCTACCAACCAATTGAAAACAACTTAAACTGTATAATCTAAAAGATATGATATCGCTCCAATGTTTAAGCGATGCTTTGCCACAACCACTATTAACGACTTGCATGGCAACAATAATAAAATTATCGAATACACTATTGCATTAATTAAAGCGTTAATATTAATATGTTTCTAATGTTAATTGTTCAACTGCCTTTGATTTCATTCCGTTGTCTACATCTACAGTTAGAGGGAATAGCCTTTGCATATGGATCTGACCGAATTAACCTAATATTCGAACTAAACTTATTGCGATATTAACTTTATTTTATTAGATACGGGGAACTCCCGTCACCACTGGGATCCTTTCCTTGACGTACAAATTTGAGATATTACTATAAAAGTCAATTCAATACATTTGGATCGCCCTTGTTACATTGATTTACCGTCAATGCACACTATCTACCGGATACTTCGTTATAGTCTATTTTTGCTAATGCATTGTGCAACATCAACAGACATTACGCACCGCCAACGTTAAATATAGATCCAGGGGTTCTCCAATAAATGAATCAAAGTTGCGTAAATACGACCGACTTTACGCTGAAGTCTATAATATAAAGTATCGTAATGCAAAAAGTTCAACAAGGAGAAAAAGGTCAACAAAAAAACTATCCTGATTACTTTTTATCTCAAAGAGCAAATTATATATGCAAAGCAAAGGCCGAATGGGAAGACAAGGACTGGAATATTAATAACGAACTTAGGACAGTCACATCAACTGAATTTAAAACTTGTATTTTCAATGTATGACAAAAGCAAACATGCCAAGAAATTAATACAATATTAATCCGTACAACTTTCCTATTTCACAATGCCGCATGCAGTGTGTAATGTTGTTTTCACGAGGGTGAAAATCAGCCCTAATTTCGAATGTTTGGAAATCAACTTTGATCGTAAACTAAACTTTCAGTAAAACTCATTCACAAATCAAAAATACTTGTCTATTTTGATAAACTTTCTTTTCATGCAAAGTAACTAATCAGTGTCTGTATAATGATGTAACATTGTACAAACATGTCGAATTTGCACGTCTTTTTTTTTTCCTCCGTCTCTTTTCCCCTGCATTGTGTTAAACAGTGCAATATGTGCTTGCTGATGAACACGGGATCGGGCAGTAAAACAACATTATCAGCTTTCGATATTGTTGTGACGGACACATTCTCTAAAAATAGACGAAATTAGTAATACGTTTACTAATAATAGATTTTCCTTGTTTTTGGCTAGACGACATCTTACATATGCAATCTAAACAGCGCAAGCAAACCATTCCACCTAACTCGAATCAGTACAACGAAAAAATGTATTTAAACACTGCGTTCTTGCTTCCCTGACTTTCAACGAGCAGACTCATTAGCTTGTCAAATCAATAGCTTGGTATATCAAGTTCATATCATTTTACATACGAATCCGCTCAGTTAATATCAAGAAAAATGAATCCCCTCCGCAACAAGTTTTTGGGACTTTTCGTCATTCTCGTTGTAATGCTCGCTACCTTGACGGCCTCCAACCCAATTCCAGAACTCGAAAAAAGAGAGGATCCTGTCATGAACGTTCCATCTCCGGGTCCAGGTCAACGCAAGATGAATTCTATACAGAATGTTAGTTGGTGGTGTAATAAATGTAGTTCAAAGGGTAAGTGTTGTAATTTTTTAGCATGTTTGTAAATTATTTTTTCTCCTAATAATAATAAATATTTTTTTTACTTTAGCCAAAGTTGACGTTAAGATAACGAATGCCCGCGACGCTAATTTCGCCACCTTCACTGTAAGTTGATTTTTCTTTCTCGTTAATTAGATGATTTACAAACTTGGAAAGCTTTTGTCTAATGTATGTACTGTATATTATTATTTTCTAGGGTCACAACGCTAAATCTGGCTCGTTAAGCTTTGTCATTGACCCAAAGTGGGCTAGAGTAGGATTTTTGTACCTCGTTCAAGTGACGCTCCATGGTCATCCAGAAGTCAGTGGATTCAGTAGCTCATTCGAAGTGGTATAAAAAAAGTCTTGAATCTGATTTACACGTTTAATAGAAGTACATCGTGCATTTTCTCCCAACTATGTATTATGACTTTTACGGTATTAATATAATGTTACAATCAATAAAAAAATGAAAAACGTTAGACGTAACAGAAAGGTTAAAAGATTAAATTGCCAAATGTCACGGACATTTTATTTTTACTTGCCGACCAATGAAAGAAGTAAATTGAATAAATAACACTATCAATATTTTCATAATTTACTAGCCATTCTTTTAAATTATTTTTTCCGGAAATACCACATTTATGGATCCGCCGAACAATTATTTCACCGATCTGCTACCAAAAACGGATAATCCAAGTAATCGAAATATACGTACCCATGATCATACATTCAAGACGTTGCTTATGCCGAAAAAAACCCCCCCAACTTTTACTCATTTTCTACACCAATCTGGTCGTTTTGCTGGTGCAAGCCTTTTTGTAGAATACAGATCAAATGGGTTATTCAAAGAATCAAAGAGCCTTGGCGCTATATTCTGGACAATCAGATTTATCTGATAGTTTTTTTTAATAATAACAATAATGATAAATGAGGCTATGTTTCAACACTATGAAACCCACGTTATATGCGTTCGTTTCCTAACATCAAGTTCTTCTCAGAGTTGTTATCAGATTAGAGATACCGGTGTAGTAGTTTTGGTAGCAGTTCTAGATTTAAATTCTTTGGTTGTTTCCGGCAACAATATAGAGTGGTTTTGGCAAGTGCTCTCATACTCAGGACAAAATACTTCTTTGTCGTTTTTGTGAAACAGGAGCGCAAACTCTAAAATTAATCAACATTTTTGGAGATACAGGAACAGCAACATTGGCAAGACTCTAGAAACAATACTTCCGACTTTTTTCAAATACGCAAACACAATAGCTCGGTCAACTCCGAGTCAACTTCTTTGACGTCTATGCCTACAGCATTGCCCATCGCTCATGCCGACTTCACTTATGAATGCTTGTGCGATATCTCTGTACAACCTCTCGCTTTCTCAAGCTTCTCGACAGAGATATTATCTGCTGTCTGTCTGGGCTTGGCGCGCAAAACTCGCGAAAATGGTTCGACAATTTTCGGCAACCTATCTGATGCTACAAACGCAACGAAATGAAACCAATAAGACGAAAACCGCATCTTATATCGTGACTCACCCATTCAGTCGGTTTCGCTCACGCGATGCATATTAATAAAATAAAAACTTATAGTATCATGTTCGATAACAATAACCTTTCAAGTAAAATTAATAAACGAGAGTTAGTAAAAAGTGCACAGGGTTCGGCAGGGCATTTGCAAAAGATGCATTATCAACATGCATTATTATTACTTCACCGATACCGATTTCTAACTTGACAGCGACTGTGCTGTCTACTTATCGCTAGATGGGGCCTGGCTGCCTCCAACTTTTTCTGACTGCCGTCCAATGTGTTGCAGCTCGCCCGCCTTTAGTAAGTATTTCTATAGTAATTCAGAAGAACAAGAATAATAAACCATAAACAACCTTAAACATAAACTTAGACCAACAAAAACTTAAAATATAAAACAAAATATCTAAAAAATTTTGGTTGAGAAAACAAATAAGTATTTTTTTTTTCCTTTCAATAGTGTACGTTATGTGTCAAGTTATAATAAATTGGTGGGGTTTTTCACCGCAACTCTTTCTTGTTTTTACCTTTTACATAACAATAAGTTTTAGTTTGTAATCAGGAAGAATGTAAATCTTATTTTCATCGGTAATGCCCATAATAATTTCGATAGGAAGGCTAATTAAAATTAAACTCTAAACTAATATCGTCGCACGATCACCACTTTCTATGGTAACTCTTTCCAAATCTCAGTAAAAGCAACAAGTTATCACATCTATCGTTATTTGCAAGATTGTAGGCACTTATTACAATTTATAAAAGCGGGTCACAATAAATGAGATAAGGAATAAATTGATTCGTTGTGCGTTGTACCCTAATACCACAAATCTGACACAATTTTTGAGTAGCAATGCTTTAATACAAATACTTAAATATATACTAATACATAATAATAATAATATTAATATGCAATTAGCAAATCTATACGTTAATTGGGTTTACGTTGCGCATGCCGATACCCTAATAAGGGATCTGTAAAGTTTTCGGCGCGCAACATATCGTAA